TGCCTGTCTGCTGCCATGATGGCCATGGACTCTAAGCTCCAATAAACTCTTTCTTTATAGATTACTTTAGTCATGGTGTTTTGTCACAGAAATTGCAAAGTAACTAAGACAGAGGGTACACAACAAATATATGAACAAAAGAAATTAAATATATGAGAAAAATATTAAATAACTAAGAAAATGTCTAGATTTGAGAAAAATAAATCTAAAAATATACTTAGAATTGTAATTTCCAAAGATCGTTTTAATTTTGGATTAGATAAAGGTGAAAAAATTACCAACTAAGGCATAAATGTAAATAAATTAACCAGAATCATAGTCTAGCAGGTAGGGAAGTTGTACAGAGCATGTCGGGATGGGGATGACTGTGAAGGATAAGGTTAGAAGTCTAGCATTAATCTTCTCAGAACTACAAAATGAGAAGGGAGCAAGAGGTACTATCTGAAGAAAAATAGGGGTTGAAATATTCTAGAAGTGATGAAATACAGAGATAATTAAATTCAAGATAAATGTGAAGAAGTCCACATACTTCACCTTGAAGCTGAAGAACACCAAAGGCAAGAGATTTTCAAACCAATTAGAGAGGACTGTCAGGTTACTTTCAAAGAAAGATGGAAGCAGTAGATCTCAAAAGCAACAATGGAAACAAGGGCTGAAGAGAAAAGCACAGCAGCCTCAAGATGCTGATAGGCAGTAACTGTCAATTCAGAAAAATACCCAGCAGAAATATTCTTTAAGGTAGGCACATTCCAAGAAGACCCATGCCAAAAAGAACACTTTAAAGTTAAGACAAAGTAGTGCTAGATGTAAATGACACATATAAATAAAATTGGAGGAAAAGGAACTACATAAAACAATATACATGGCATTTTATGAAATTTAATGTATTTAGGAATCTTAAAAATTATAATTAAGATGAACATTAGTGACAATGTAAATATATAAGACAGAAAGAGGGTATTTGGACTTAAAAGTAACCTAAAGAGCAAGGTAAAGACACCAACTTATTTATACCTCTCATATATAAAACCTGTGTAAGCCCAAATCAGACCAAATCCTGGCTTAGAAAGAAGAGTTGAGCTTAGAACCCCACTCTTAGACATGGAGCTATTGGCACTTGTTAGCTGCTGGGAAAGGAAGAATCAGTTTTCTCTAAGAATGTAGCTACTGACTGGTAAATCAATCACGATCCAATGTAAGACCACACAGCTAAGAGTATTTTGGGGGTACAATTGGTCTTGAAGGAACTGATAAAAAGGACATAAAGGTGGTGGATATGGAAAGGCAGTGGATGTAAGGCGGCTTTGAGAAATGAGCATCACTAAGATATGTTATAGGAAACTCAAAACTCTCAAAGAACTAACACAAAAATGGAAAAAAGAATACCGAGCTTCTAGTTTTAAAATAAGAAATAATTGGAGGAGAAAAAAAGAATTTTAAAGAAGACAGAGTAAGTAATATAAAATGTCTGTGGGGCACATAGAAAATACCACACTGAGAAGGCGAGATAGGCCCAGATGTTTGTGTAAGTGCCCTAAATGTCCCATGTCACAGTAAAAGATCATCTAACTATGCATCATTTATGAGACACATATAAACATAAGGATGTTTTCAATGGGAAAGTGAAAGTAAAAGAAGAAAGATATCTACTGTGAATCTTAGTGTATAATTAAAGGAAGAACTACATCCAAAAAAAACACGTGTAATGCTAGATCTTCTAAGTGTCTGTTAACTTACAGGAGCGGGATTACAAACTTGGAGCCACAAGCCTGAGCTTTTATTTCTCTGCCATTTCTCTGCAGGTCTCATTTGTGACTCAAAGCTGTCAACACTGCTTCAGAGCAATCAAAGCCATGGGTGGCGTTTGGAAGGTGATAATTAATTCTGCTGGTGTATTTACAATATTTTTTTTCTGTCAAAACAGAGTTATCCCATTTAATTCTTCAATTAGATAAACTGGAATCAATATGTAATTGCTTAAAGACAGCATGGTGTGCTAAGAGGGGCTCTGAAAGCCACTTTCTCTGGGGTAGAATTCAATATTCCTGTTCGGTTCACTTGTTAGAAATGATTTCTATGATCTTTTTACTTAATGCTATTTCGCTGGAGTTGTAATACAACATTACACACAAATCCTACACATATAAAGGATAGAGTACTGTCCAATTCTTAACTTCCATTAAAAATGCCTAGGCACTTTCAGCAGAGGATTTCTCTAGAAGTTCAACACATATAAGGTGAATAAGTGGTTTGAATGAATGGCAGAGAATTCTGAATCTACTGTGAGCAACAACATTCAGAACTGTAATGGGGGTTGAATTTTTGTGAGATGTGTAAAAGAAAAGAAGCCATTAAAAAATGGATGTTGTTAAGAAATCCATTTCTTCACCCTCTCACCCACACCAATCACTCAAGAGTCCCTGGTAAGAACTACACAGGCTTACAACCACTTTGAGACTTGTACATGTTTTTGAGATGTAGATATTGGATGACTGGATAGGAAACTCACTGGTACAACTTAACACCAGTTTGATGGTTTATAATAAACAAATTCATGCATTGGGACAATCACAAGCTGTGTTGCTAAGTGATTAACAGTAAATGGAAGAATGCAATTTTAAGAATTTCAGGATCCTGTCCACCCATGTAAGTTGAAGAACATATAGAATGTTACAGTAAATTAAAAGATATCCTATATATAATTTATTGTTAGAAGACACTACAAATTTTGCATTTATTATTTGAATTGTCAGGAAGGAATTCTGATAAAGACACAGTCTGGATGCATAAATTGATCATTACTGTGAGCCGAACATTGATCTCCTGGTATAATACAGCCCAAATCATTTCTGTCTAGGTGATTGCCTAGAACCCACACATCTCTGGCCATATGCATATGGTTAGCCAGCTAATGTCCAGGCTCTTATGAGCCCAGTGGTTTATTTATTATTAACTAGCCTTCTATTAGTGGTTCTTTTTGTATGTGGACACTACCTCACTTACTACAGGCCTGACAATGAAGTAACAGAACCAGGTAGGTGTGCAGAGACACTAGGATTTGTAGCTGGGATTTGATTTTATTTTATTGGAGAAGTCAGCAAAACATGGAAATGCCTTCCTGGAAGGGAGAAGTTTACACTCATAGATCTGAAGAACAGGAGACACAGCTCAGCACATGGTCACCTGGGGAGGGACCCAAGTCAATGAGGGACACAAAGGACCAGGACAACACGAGGCACAGAGCATGTGTCGGCAGTTTTGTGGGCAGGAGTTGGCAGACTGCAGGACATGCTGAGAGAGCAGGGGAAAGGCCTGGTACAGTGTAAGCAGATTTTTTTTTTTTTTTTTTTTTTTTTTTTTTTTTTTTGTTTTGTTTTTTCTGACCCTGGCCCTGGCATGAGGCAGAGGAATACTGAATTGGTGTGTAAGAGCTCTGAGTTAGTTGGCTTGTATATCACAGGGGGCCTCATGGTGGAGTCATTTATGGCAGCCAACTGTAGAGTTGCTGTGAGATTAAGAACTTCCAAATACTAGGGCATCAAGAGTACAGAAATAAGAAAATGCTGTCATTGCACTGCTGTTAGTAAATTGAATAATCTATGAATTATAACTCACCCGAACTAGTAAGAGTTTAGTGTAGATATATCCTATTGCATTGCCTTTAGCAGTATGTTGGCAGTTCAACTTCCTCCAAACAAAATTCTTATGAAGATAAGAAGAAAACAGAGAGACTAACACACCCGACCATTTATTAGGAAGCTTCTTAAAGAAATAAAAGAGGGGTCTTGAGTGAGGGTTCAGCAATTAAAAGCCTGTACTGCTCTTGCAGACGACCTGAGTTTGGCTTCTGGCATCTGCATCTGGCAGCTCACAAATGCCTATAACAACAGCCCCTGTGAGATCCGAAGCCTCTGGCCTCCTGGGGTACCTTCCTATTGTCCACCCACTGCCTCTACATAACTAAAAATAAAATAAATCCTTAAAATAGAAAGCAAATAGAAAGACAGTATTTGTGTACTGGTGGGCTCTTTCACAGTTGGTAGACACATCCTTCTCACTAGGGGAAATATGGGCAGTGCTTCATTGGTAATTTGGGAAGGGAAGGGAAAGGTTTGAGGTTTTCAGGCAAAAACATACAGGGTTTTGGTGCAGTCATTTACTTTTCTCTTTTAAAGTATTATATTTTAAAGGAACAGTTCCCTTAAACAACTTTAAAGGAAAACTCAACTGATTTTCCCCTACAAGGGCATTTAAAAAGCAATTTCCCACTCAAATGATTTAAGGAACAGCATCTAGTGATAAGAAGCATAGGAACCACAAAACGTTCGCTTCCAGGTTTGTCCTGCAAAGTCATCTTCTACCCTGCCCATCACTAGCGTGGAAGGGTTGGGTCAGGTGATCTGAAGTTGTTGTCTAACTACATTCCAGCACACATTCTGATGCCCATTTGCACTCCCTACACACACACACTGTAGGACTTTCTGACTGGAGCTATGGCATGGTTTGGGATGGTGCTTTCCCAGCATAAGTTGGCTCTCCAGCATTCAACAACTTGACAAAGAGGTACACACTTTTAATCCCAGAACTCAGGAAGTAGAAACCAGGCCACCAGAATTTCAAGGTCCTCCTCAGCTATACAGCACCTCAGGAGTTTGAGGCTAGCCTGTGCTACATGAGATCCTTTCGAGGAAAACAAATGATCCTACAGAGAAAAAATGTTTATGGAAGGCCATAAGGTAGGCTTGATTGCAGAAGTCAATTTATTTAGCCTTACTCACTAGGCATACCATTCATTTCCAGAGCAAAAAAGACCTTTGTTTTATATATAAATGCATACTGAAAGGACATATAAAGAACTTGGAAGTATAATGGGTAAGCATGTGGTTAAATCCATTTAGTTTGTAACCTCATGCTTCATTAACCAAGTACATGCTTCCCACCAATGTTTCTCATGGGGAAGATACAAACATGTCCTCTCTCTGTACAAAGATAGATCATACCTTGGAGGTGTCATCACCCTCATCTTCATGCACTGAGCTGGAAGGTGAAGGGGTTGCAGACTTGCTCCCAGGGGGAGAAGGGGAGTTGTGAGGCACGTTGCTTCCTCCCATGTTCAAACCCAACTGTGCGCTCAACTGGGACTGGTTGATGGTAGTCAGCTGGCCATGTTGCATCATGCTTGCCTGCTGTCTGATATCTGTAGGCTGGCCTCTCGGCCTCATGGCTGCCATCTGAGGATGGGAGCCGTACTGAGCTCCTTCAGTATTCCCCATATCTTGCATCTAAAATAAATGAACAAATAGACACACTTTCAGAAACATGCTTCTTGAAATATTCTTATATTTTTATTTTTAAATTTTGACTTTTTGACAAAGGATCTCACTATGCAAGCCCAGGCCAGCTTGGAATTCATGATCCTCCTGCTTCAGTATCTTGAGTGCTAAGGTTAGAGGTACATGCTATCATGCTCAGCTAAAATTTTTTCTTTAATCTGTAGATGGAAAGATGTCCCATTAAGTTGTATCCACACTAATCTTCTCTGTAATATAATATTCTAAGTTATACATTACCCCAAGGAATACCAAAAGATAGATCATGGATATAGTTTAGTGGTAGAGGTCTGGACTGGCATGGGCAAGGCCCTGGGTTTTAATCTCATCACTACAACCAACCAGCCAAAACCAGACTTTGATAATTTGCTCAACATTGAATTTCATCTACCAAGACCAACTCAGTGTACTTATATTTTTGTTCTGATAAGTAGACATCTTATTAATTTATGCATTATAACATTGTATATATTTATGTGATGAAAATGTCAACATGCTGGTGCTATTAGAATGCCATCCAAATTACAAAATCATTAGGGATTTTAGCCTAACAGCCATCCATTAAACCCTGTGTTTTAATTTTGATCATTTAAGGAGGCTTTAGGAGTCAATAAGACAATGAGTGTTCTTAGCTTAAATATTTTAAAAATTTTTTGAGAATTTCATACAAGAGTATATTGTATTTACATCATTTCTACTCCTCCTTTTCCCAACTTTTCTCATCTCCCATTCTGTATCTAATATCTATATCTATATCTATCTATCTATCTATCTATCTATCTATCTATCTATCTATCTATCTATCTGCTCATAAAGCCTGCTTAGTCCATTTAGTGTTGCTTTTATATATTTAGGACTGACCAGTGGGGATTGGATAACCTATCAAGGAGGTTGTCCCTTAAGAAACCACTATTGCAACTCTTCATCTAGGATTGGGCCTTGTTAATTTCCTTAATCTTTCTTGGCATGTCTAATTCTGTGACCATCATTCTTGTCTTGTTTCCACAACCAACGATATTGTTGAAATATCAGGGGTACAGTATCCGTGTCATGTCTACAAGACATTCTCTCTCTGCAGGTGCCCTGGTTTAGTTTAATCCTTTATTGAATAGCCAGAATGCTCTCCCAACTACTGTTCTCAGAATGCGTATAGACAGTCATTAACCAATTGACTGACTATTGCAGTGACTTGACGGCACAGACAGATTTGAAAGCAAGGCTCTAAAATTGCAAGGTCTCCATATTAATCCATTATGTTATCTGGGTCACTGCTTTCCAGCCTTAACGAGACTCATTCTTGTAATTCAAGCAATGACTTTCATCTCGGCAGGATTAAAATTAAACGCATTGGGGGATGAAGCACTTAACGTTATCTGGGGGTCAAACACATTGTGTAAGAGGGGTGTGATGGATTTCACTGAACATTTCTCTAGCAGTTCCAAACCTAAGGCAGAGGACCTAGTGCTTCTTGGTGTGGCTTGTTGAGTTCCCTGTTAGATGGTGCTCAAGACAAGAAAACAAGAGGGAAGATGATGGACAATGTGCAGTGAAGGACCAGATAGCTAAAAATACACATGGAACTAAAAATCTAATTAATGCTATCTGCTGTTGCATAACAAAAATATTCCACATAGACAAGAGGCTTAGTAATTACCCATTTAAAATGTTATTATGACCTGGAAAAACATGTGAGGGCAGGCTAAGGAACCCCATCCTGGCCTTTATTTTTGTTTCTTTTGTATAGCAGCAAAATTATTTTCCATCAGAATGCACAAGTTATTTCACAACACTCATTAGATCCAGCTCAACACAGAATGTGGCTGTGCAGGTCTGGAGCCTGTGTTCTTGCTTCCTGACAGGCCTCTCATTGGGTCACTTCATCCTGCTGGCTGTTCCCCTGCTCCTGGGCAAGGCCCACTCCCAGCCCTGAGTCGCTGCACTTCGGCTTCTTTTTGGTGGAGCTTAGGTTCCATCGTTCCACAAGTTTCCCAACTTCCTAGTCTGAACCAACATTTTTTTTTCCAAAAACACAAACTGTATTGTTGTAATCCTTTAAATGTAGTCTCAGAATTCATGAAGCCAACCCACTGAACAGTTATAGGAGAGACACAGCTTCACAGACATTCTGATGTGAAAAATCAGACCAGGCTTTTAAAAGAAGAGGGAACATAAACTCTTTTTTTTCTTTAAGGATTACTCTCAAGTGTATTGAACATCTATGCATCTTAGTATTTAGAACCGCTTTAATTATGGGCATGTGGCTTCCTGTGAATGAACACTGCCCTATGGTAAACCCTACTCTCCCAATCCCACATCAGGTAAAGCACTGGGTTTACATTCAGACTTGGGTATCTAGAGAACATGTTTCTTAGCTCTGTGAATTACAAGTATTTGCCAGCAGAGTCAGACATTAACTAAATCATCTCTCTAACAATATGGAACAACTTGATATCTCGAGTTTGTCTTTCCATGCATCTCTGGTTTCAAAGCACACACATGTGTAGCACGGTTTGAGCCCATTTGAACTCATCTGCACAGAACTCTGGTAGTTTTAACCTGGTGTTATCAGATTATGGTTTCTAAAAGGATCTTCACACAGAGCCTCTGGATTTGTGGAAATAATGTGTTCCTTATAGAGGTTTAATCTCCTTATAAGTACCAATTTCTTCTACTGTTTTGCAAAATAGTTGTTTTTGTTCTCATTTGTGTTTTGTTCTGTAACATGTGTTTTTGTGGGTCTATATTCCTGCTCCTGCATTAAAGAGGAAGTAGCCTTGGCTACAGTGGAGCAAAGGGTCATTTGGGTAAGGATGATGAGATAAATAGATAAATAGATGGTCAAGGATGATGAGATAGACAGCAACAACCTCTTTTCTGGGGTTTTATCCAGCAATGTTAGGTTAGGCAGACAGAAGTGTTGTCACTGCACCAGGAGACAGTAGCCTGATGTGAAGGGTGGTGAGCTTAGGCAAGAGATCATCATTGACCCTGCAGGCCCCACATGCTCAAACACACAATTGAATCCCAGCACCATGCTGACATTCCTGATCTGTGGGAAGTATATGAGTGTTACTTTGCTCTCCTGGGAGCCAGTGTTAATTACTAATGATTAATATGGGTGGGGGATTAAAGTGGATGGATTCTAGTTATTGAAAATAATAATTATTAAAATCACACAAATAAACAAATGCTTTCATTACCAGTTTCCTCCTGAAAAGCATTGGTTGCTTGTTATTCCTTAATGTCAAATACAAAATTTGGAATAGCCAGATAGCATTTTTATTTTATTTTATTTTGTTTTGTTTTATTTTATTTTTTAGCATTTTTGTCATCAATCATACTTTAAGTTCACAGTGAACAATTCAGTATAGTCACACTTAGTAGTGACAATTTTTTTCCATGTTCTCTTCTTGTTCCTCCTTTAAAAAACATTGGATGATGATTAGAACTGGAGAAAACATCAGCGCCAACAGGCAGTGCTCTGAGGTGACTGGGAGAGCAAGAAGGGAAGGGGCTTCAGTCTTTGATTACAGTGCAACTATCTAGAATAGGGTGTTTAATGTGACTGTCTCTGCTGAGTTTTTATCACTAGGGCTATCTTTTGTATGCTGTTAAATGTAATTTTAACTGATACACCCTAACTGGCTATAGACATAAGTAATTTATTTTCTTCAGCACTGTGAAGAATCCAGCACAAACCTTGTCACATAGCAGGTATTCATCACATTTCCTGAACTGGAGTGAAGAGATGTTTTGGTCAGGTACAGATGGCACTGATGGACCTGGCTCCGCCGACATGGCAGAGCACATTTCAATCACTTGGGGATTTCATTTGCTAAGGCCCAGTGCTGAAATGAATTAGAGGTAATGTCTAAGGCATGTAACTCTCACTTTCTTTTTTTCAAGATTAGAAAACTATTTTTTTTCTTGGCTAAAAGTACTATATATCATTAGCTTTATAACTTCCTATTTATTTCATCATTTGGGAAAAACACTTGATCTGAGGATCGGTTGGATTTCATTCTTTTGTAAACTTGATCAGTTTCTTTAAATTTTCCTACTTGCTGTTGTACAACAATATTTTCTATACTTCTGGGAGTAAAAATGCCAATTAAAATAATGGAGGAAGGCTAGAATGATGAAGAGGAATTTCATGTGTATTCTTACAAAGCCTTTTTCCAATTACTGGAAACCCAATTATGGGATCAAATATGAAAGCCAAGTAGATGCTATCTATTTCCCATGCCTAATGCCCTGTTCTATGATTGACTTCCTGTCTTGTGTGGCACTTTCCTTCTCCTACACCAGAAGAGTTCCAGGTTGAAGATAGTGCTCAAGTGGTAAACACCAGGTGCAATATTTGACACATATTTCAACACTCGTGTATCCTTTGATTTTCTTTGAAAATGGAAAGAAAAACACAGGCCCATATTACCCACTAAGACATTATTTTGGTGTGACTGGAATACCTCTACCCCCAGGAAACCCTTGTAATAGTGCTAGCTGTATAGTGACTAATGGTGTCGAAATTGCACTCTAGAATGACACAGGACGTTGGAGGCTTGCTGTTGGTGTTCAAAGCTGTATGTGTATCACAATTCAGTCTGCTGTTACCTTGAACATGAACATCCTTCCCAGTCCAATGTGGGAGCCTGGAAAGCTATCATTATCTCTGCCTCTAGCAGACAATCTATAGCGAAACAGTTTGTACACATAAAACTCTAACGACACCTCATCTCTGTGCTCAGATCCAGCTGTTTAAGTGAATGGCAGTTGGTGAGCAGAGCTCAGGAGCAGGGCTAGCCCCGAGGCCATGTCTGCTAATATGGCTCACCAGCTGCTGCATTCTGTGGTCTATGCAGGCAACTCCTGGATTTGTGCCTGATCCAGCAGGAGCAAGAGAACATGAAGAATCTCTGAAGCTCTCATGCTCACCCCTGTCTGTCAACATT